ACTTGGTAACCTGCAAACGTAGGTTTTATCTGCGGTGTAGAGACAATCTTGAATTGATAAAGTTTTTGTCAAGAATTGGTTGTGAAATCGGCCACTGAACGTTCGAGATTTAAAAGGTACAGTATGTGGCTTATATCTAATATTAAGGCTTTCTACTACATCTATATATAACTATTTTCAAAAAAAAATTTTTTCATCTTACAAAACATTGCAAGTTTCGATTTACTTCAAGCTAACATAGAAAAATACGTCCTACCCACACTGGACAATAGAAGTGTCACCCCTACTGAACCAATACTATTGGGGAGATAAATGACTATGGAATGATATGCTCCTGGTATCATTTTATTAACATCAAATTTCACAAAAGAAACGGTTCTGACTAAACAACTTAACTGTATCGCTATTCTGACATTGCTTATATTCCGCCTCTTCAGGTTTATAACTTTGATTACTCTGATTCAGGGTGTGAAACTTCTATGGCCATGCAGTGTGTGTACATATACTGGTACCTTGGCACACACACACACACACACACACACACACACATGAAAAAATTAAGATCTTTTTCTAATAATCTTTTCCCACCTTTTATACTATCTGTAAGTAAATTATCTATGTTGTAATAATCATAACTTTTTTACATCTCCGCCCCAACAGAACTAGAAAACACGGTCTTGAGATTTATAACTGGTCTGAGGCAGGTCGTTTTATTATGTTGCTGAAATGATGCCCGGGGTTTGATAGTGAAGACACTTATTGGTTTTTTATCTGTAATAGATCATGTAGTTTTGTATTGGTTATCAAATGTTAGCAAGTCTTTAACTGTTAGATTTCATTATCGTTGTTTATATATATTGTTAATGTCTGAGTGTTAGAGGAGTGAGTGAGAGGGATGTTTTAATAGTCATTGATCAAATTGTATTATAATTTTTACTTTATTTTACTTTGGAGAAATCCAATTTAAAAACTTCATCCAGGCTTTAGATTTTATAGCATAAATGCAGCTACCAATCGGCTTTATGTCCTTAAACAATGATTGAAAACAAATCCCAGAACAGTACCCTATATTATCTTAAGTGACGCTTTATTAAATGTATGTTTATAAAAGAGTGGCTTTCAGACACATACTGGTGCCCGCTATTCCACACTCACGCACCCCACACCTTGATTTCTCACGTGGATCACGTGTACAGGACATGTCCCTGTGTCGAGTACAGCAGCTACCACACAAGGGTTCTATTGTCAAAGCGCGTAATGCCAATGCCGCTGCATGCCTTTCATTCAAACGATTCAATTGATTTAGTTCACTTTGGGTCAACCTAGCAAAACCGAGTAATTATAAGGCAAATATCGCTCGAAATCACGAAAATTTGATAACTGAAATGTTAGTAATGAACAGATAATTATATATGACATAAGAGCTTGATGCTAAGATAGCGATAGCGCTTATTACTGGATCAGAGGAATCGATTTTGGAAATAAACACGGAGGGTGCGAAACTGAAAATATTTTATGACGCAGCTCTATTTATGTCAACAATATCACCTGACATTTTTTCGATGGGCTTATACCTCATATCAAGGATAACTAATTTCAAACATAACCTATTTTTTCTTCTTACAAAACATTGTAAGTTTCATTTTATTTGAAGCCAACGGAGAAAAGTAGGTCCTACATATACTCAGTACCTTGGCTCAAAAAAATTAAAATTATTTTCTAGTAATCTTTTCCCACCTTTTATACTATTTGTAAGTAAATTATTTATGGTTTAATAATTATAACTCTTTTGCATCTCCGACCCAACAGAACTAGACAACACGTTTTTTTTAGATTTATAACTGGTCTGAGGCAGGTCGTTTTATTATGATGTTGAAATGGTTCTTCACCGGTTATCTAGTGAAAATAAGTATTGTCTACATTTTTAACCAAGAATGGGACTGCAACAGAAAGACTGCTCTACAGAAATGTAAATTGGGTTTCTTTATCTCGACTTCTGAAATAGTTTGCTTCTACGACACCCATAATCTGGTAGTCAAAGGAAGTTTCAATGGAGCTAACCCTCTCTAAGGCGAATTGGTTTGAATGCCTCTGACTCATCAAGATATGACGTCAGTGTGAATTGGTCTTTGGCAATACTTCGTCTTCTTAACTTAAATTGTGTGATCAAATGCAATATCACATGCAACAGAAACCTTGGAAAAATATGATTCAATGATTCAAATATCACGGGAATTTGCATTCACTGTAATAAGAAATAAAAAATTACTCCACTTCAGCGTCTGTAACAAGATGAATTCTTTAACTCTTGTGATTATTCTCTCCTTAGCTGTGTCTGTTTCCAATTATGTCCAGCTTTGTCTTAACCCGAAACAACACGAATTTTCGCTTTATTTAGTACAACGTGGTAAGTCTAATTTGAAATGGTAAATGAGATGGAGACATCTTACACAAAATGAACTTTTCGTATACCACTACTACTGACACTAATAAAGCAATAATGAATAATAATAGTACACGAAAGATCTGTTTTAGTCCTTCATTTGAAAACACCAAGGACTAAGCATAAAGTAATTTGTCTTCAGTCAGTAGCTTATAATTACAAGTGATGTTACCTGCAATATTTCGATGTCTTTAGAGCATTTCCATTAGTGAATGGGGCCTGCAGGTGAATAACCTTATCCCCCACCTATTGTCTTAATAAAAGGGTAGTATAGGTCCGGGAGGATGGCCACATCATTTCTGTTGAGTCTGGTCCCTGTCTTCTTGATGTGTATGGCTTCCAGGCTTTCTGTTGTGTTTTCACTGTCAATACCTTGATTTTGTCAATAATCTGATTTTTTCAGATTATTTCCAATTTTGGTTCATCGTTAACTTGTCTCGTTTGTTGATTGATTTTTGGTGTTCTGCTATCTCTCACCCTCTGAATTTCACACACTTGTATGTTTATCTCCCCTTATCCTTCACACTCCACGTACAGTAATAGACTACCCCACATTTTTCATTGCAGTATTAGGTGTCTTTTGGGCCTACGACTGCACACCGCAAACCTGCTTTGCCATTCATGTTGATGTTGTACTTCAGGTCCGAAGAGGGGGGCGGCGTTCGGGGGGGGGGGGGTCGAAATAACCCCCTTTTGCTGGGAAAAGGTCCCCTTTGGGTAAAATAATTTTTCAGAAAAAGAACCTCCCTTTTGATATTCCTGCAGCTACGGGCCTGTTACTGTACTTGTTCCAAGTCCGCTGCAAGCGTTCAGCCACTCCCGATTGGTAAAATAATGCACTTTTTTTATTATTAAACATTCGGTTGGCAACTTCTCTGCCCATTATGTATAATCACAGTTTCTCAGAGCTAATAAAACTTTCTCTTTTCCAATCGCCTGGGTGTTTTGTCCGTCACCAAGGCCTCACCTTTACATGAGCGTCCTTTCAATCCCCAAATTTTGATAAGCGAGGTGGTGTAACTCTCAATATAGGTTTTAGTCTGTGTTGGTGGGTTTACAATTTATGTTAGCTATGAAAATATTGGAGGTAATATTACTTGTTAATATTGGCTGTAAAAAGAAGAATTTTTACTTTATTCTCATAATATAACACAACTGATTAATTTCTTCTTTGACAAAGAACAATTTATTAACACGATCGAGATGCATGAAGTTGCGTTTCCTATTTATTCCTGACAACAAATGCTACTTTTACAATAATTTAGACCACGTTCTTTAGACTTGATTCCTTGATCTGTTATACCAGATACAACTGTCGGTTAAACATATTACCACTTATTGTGGTTGAGAACTTTTCTGAGTATTCTATAATTGCTCTATTTTATACACAAAAAAAAAAAGAAAAAAATTAATCCAATTTGTAGAAACTCGTTCAGATGGTGACCTTTGTTATCAGTCGTTTCTAAAACGCAATATTGAATTTGATGAAGATGTCACAAATCACTGCACCCGAATGTATCGAATTTTGTCGTACTGTTGGGCGCTATATTCTTACTATTAAGCCATAATTCCAAGTACGTGTTAGATTGGCACCTGAAATAATCTGAAATAAAGCTTGATTAGGTGCAAAAAGGGGACCATTTTGCACTTAAACGCAAAACCATCAATCACTGTACGTTCCCATGCAGCGTTTTGTTTTCTTACCTGAATCGCGTGCACAAAACATCAGTCTGTGTTGAGCACATTGGCAACGACACAAAAGTTCTTTCAAAGCGCATAATGTCAATACCGCTGTATGCTATTTAATCAGTTGGGTCAATTGAGCAAGTTGGCATTGGGTCACCTAACAATACAATGTCATTGTGTGTCTCATACATATCAATCACAGGGAACAATTTTGAGAATATCAGATAAAAATTAAACACTGAAAATATTTTATGACACAATGTCAACAACATCACCTGGTAGCCTTTGACAGAAAAGTTCTTTTGGCATGAAAAATCGATGCATTAAGGGTCTCAGAAAAAAAAAGGATTTTCCCCAGATCTGGACCTCCCACTGATGTTAAAGCATTTTAAAAGGTCCAATAATACATATAAATTGAAGTTCCTTTTGGAGTAATCTTTTCCCAACTTCTATACCATTTCTATACCATTATTTCATAACCATTCAAAATAACAATGTTTCCTAACTTTTTTTGATCAAGTGTGCACGAAGTGTACAAATGCACTTGCTTAAAAGAACTACATGTTCATCGCTTTTTTGCCCTGCCTCTAAACGTTTACAGCCACCGTTTATTCTCCTCCAGCATTCAGCAAGCCTGTGATTTTCTGCCCCATTTATTTAGGACACGCATCTTTGTTTCTCCTTGCTATTTCCATTGGCTGTATGTCATCTCTTCACATTAAAATATTGCAAGTTTATTTGTTTGAAAAATTGATGCATTGGATATTGACAATTTGATATTATTGAACCCACATGACTGGTTAAAATGTCCATCTTCTATTCCATTCCAGAGAAAGCAGGAAAACACGTATAAGTGACAGATGCCAGTACCATGGCAACAACAATAGAGTCATACACCGGCTCCGACCAGGAGAATTTTTTCCGTTTGTGCATTTTAATCGTTGACTATGCCCTGAAGGTCGTGCAACACGTTCTTCAGGAAGAGCTTGAATCAAAATATCCCAATTTATTTGACCCTAGCACGGGGTTGTTATTTAAGGTGCTTAGTGATACAACTGTCAAGACCATACTGTTTGGATTACCTCGAAATGTATTTAATAAGCAGCAAAAAGACCAACTGTATCCTGTTGGAAATCCCTCCAAAACAGTAACTGTTGGTGATTTAGACATCACACTGACTGTTCTCTTACTGAGAAACATCACAAAACTGGTAACCGGGTCTAATGCATGGGACAACCCCTCTGACAGCGATAAATCAAAAGAGGCCGAGATTGGGCGAGTTAAAAGATATCGCAATGTTGATTATGCTCATATAACAAAGGCAGCAATCAGTTTGGATGTTTTCCGAGAAAAATTCTCCGGTCTCAAGTCCAGTCTCCTGGCTCTCTCTGGCAGGTACAGTGGTGAGGAATACGACGCCATCTTGCACAGACCTCTTGACACTGGTTTACTTAAGGAATACCAAGATGTTATGAACAAACTGTACAATAATGACAAAGAGGTGAAAGAGTGGATGATGGAGAATCGTGATATGCTCAATAAAATCGATTTAAGGACAATAGGTATGTACTTTGTGCTTTTAGATGTTTTCCTCACATAAATCTCATTGGTGCACATATGCCTTCGTTGTTCAAATTTTGGTTCGGGAGCAACTTAATTTCAAACATTTTCTCGGATGTGAATGAGGTAGATATAATGATAGTGGCATCAGCATCAGGATCTAAGAATCTTCTATTGAAGTTTATACTTAAGTGTGAGATGTATTTGCAATTTCCTTCAAAAAATTGTTGAGAGAAGTTGTATGTAGTGGTACAAAAACAATGTAGTGTTAACAACATACTGGTAATGATGCAGATGAAAAATAAATCGTCACTCTTAAAATCCTCTATTGGATTCTCATGCTTATGTTTGAGAACTACAGTGCTTTTGTGTTTTATTTACAGACATTCAGGAAAAAGTCCAGGTGCTTTATGACAGGAATCAAGATAGATCAGAACGTCGGATAAGTCCAGGTAATATACTAAAGTAAATGTCAGGTTCAAAAATGGATGTATAAATGTATGGAGATGTATCATGTCTACTGCTGAGTGACATGTATAATGGTTTGTAATATCATGCCTCAAATGACTTAATTATAAATACTTTATTATGAAGATATAACGGTTGCATTTATATTTTGATACAAGGGTACGCGAGGAATCAGTTTTTTTAAAGTAATGGTTAGGAAAAAATCAAATCACTTGGGTTACAAGATTATAACTCAGCAGAACATAGGTGGTGATTAAAATTTTACAAGGTATACTGTTCTGGTCGATTTTGCTCCTCTCTGGAGGGATGTATGGCCTAAATTGGTCAAAATATATCCACCGTTCCTTCAATTTAGAATAGGTATCTTCCCAGCAGGCATAGTGACGTTGGATCAATGTTGAAAACAGGTTGATACGTTGAATTGCCGTTGATCTACCTAAATTCAACGTAAAATCAATGTTGATCCAGCCACGATAAAACACCGTCATAATGGTAAATTGACTCAACGTTGTATTTTGGTCATTGACTCAACGTTGTTGTTTGGTCGTCGTGATACACGACATGGATTGTAATTTAAAATATTAATTATTGAAAACGTGATACTTTGTTTATCAATACTGTAACTAACTTTATCAAAATATTTAAGAAAAGTGTGTTAAACTAAAAGTGACAGTTGTTTTGTGTCTTTAGTGAACTAGTGAATTTTCTTAACTTGTTATTCAGAATAACATTCCAATATATATACATGTACATCTTTGCAAAGTCAGCTAACACTAGGATAAATAACTCGCTGTAAATGTGATGGAGTGAAGTTAACAAAGTTGACAGTTCTCAATACCCTGTTATAGATAGACTGGTGACTGTGACTTTGTTATATATATATATATATATATATATATATATATATATGACAAAACATTCTTTGCACTTTAATGTTAAATTGGCTGTTCACTGCATGTATAAATATCACTCCTTCAATCAGTTTTGTAATTAATATTTCTGTCCATTTGACACCTTTGCTGCAGTGATATTTATGACCATGTCAATCATTTATATATTTCTTGACTAATTGATCATCGCCCATTTTACTTAATCTGCTCCAGGAAGCAATTACTTGTACTTGCTTGAAAACCACTTTTCAATTCAGATGGACCATCTATCCCAGTGATATTACAGTAGATATGCACATTTATAAACTGTTTATACTTCCCTCCATATCAGGTTCACGAAGCAGATCGTCTTCCCAGTCTGACAGCGACGACTCTCCAGTACCCTCAACTTCCACAAGTGGCCAAAAATCTGGGCGTCACCACAAGCAGAGGGTGAAAAGTGGTAAGATGTAGAAAATTAAAAAATTAATTTAGAATGTTCATTTCGTTGTTCCTGTGCCAGAATGTTTATCAAAATATGGTATCAATAATACTGATTACTGTACAGATGTGCAAATATATATTGTTAACACTATCCCTACAAATCAGGATCTCGAAGTAGATCTTCTACTGTGTCTGACAAATGCTCTTCGGCACCCTCAACCTCCGCAAGTGGCCAAAAATCTGGAAACTCAGATCTGAAAACTAGACGTGTTAAGACCAGGAAAATTAGTAATATTCAAATTGCGTGTGCTCATTTTACGTTACAACAAATTATCCACAAACCTTAATATTTGTAAATATTATTTATGATTTTCTTTTCACATGGCCCTAAGTCTACTTATGTTAAAACATAATTATTACAATAGTCTAATTTTTTTTGTGGGTGGAGGGGGTGTGATGTAATGATGCAATAAGTCACGTGGTGTAGGTCAGAGGTCATGGGTGCGCAGCAGAGAGTAGGGATGCTACGTGGCATGTGATGCATGGACTTTTAATTTTGTAATAAATATTTCAATCTTTAATACATGCACGTTGTTACAATACCATAGGGGAAACTACAGTAGTATACATTTAAAGATTGTACAACATTTGTCGTTTGCTTTTTATATAAAGAATTTGATCGTTTGCACAATGTATTCAGCAAGAAAACAAACTTAAATGCATTTCTTATTTTATTTTCTAGGAAAACACAGGATTGGAGACCCTGAACCACAATTCACAAAACGTCCCGCAAAACGTAAGTTATTTTACTCTGATAAATTACAAACTGTCAAGTAAGATGCAATATTGCATTTTGTTATTAAAAATTACAAACTTTTCTTTTTATATTACCAAAGGTGTGGTCAATAATCATAGTTTTTTTTTTACCAGTGTTGATGTGGGAGCCAGGGCAAGTACAGTTTTATAATGCGTGTTTGTGTGTGTGTTTTGTGTGTATATCTGCACGTGTGCGTGAATGTGTATGTGTGCCTGTGTGAACGTGCGTGTGTCCGTACTAGTATGCTTGTACATGTGAACGTGTGTTTTGTGAACATGTGTATGTGTGTGTGATCACCTCAGGAGATATCATGACTATTACATATTTGCCATCATCATGGGCCACATCATTTTGTATTGGGTTCAAAACTGAAAGTAAGATGTATAAATGTAGTGTTCGCTTTCAATATGGCTGCGATAAAGGTCCAAATTACCACAGTAACGATACACGAGTCCTATAATAACGAGACTATAATTAGACTCCATATTCTACGACACTAGAAACCAACGAGAAAAATATGTTCTATGCACCTTTTTCTTACTATCTTGACTTAAGAAATGTTTGTATTATACAGTGCAAATATTGTTAATAAAAGATATTTATATAAATAAATCATATATATTTCATCCAATGTGAGTACAGGAAAATTTTTAGTCTCTGTGAACCTCGACGCCCTTTAGTTTATGGTGGCTTGGTCAATTTAGTTAAATAGACTGAGCTTAGAATGTCCTATAATTACATGAATGAATACTAGTGTGATTTACATTGTTAACAGCAATCATGTTATTTTTGTCAACATTTAGATTATAAGTAAGACTGGAAAAATATTTACTTATAACATTGACGATACCGTTTTTCCTATAAAATATGTTTCTTTTCAGGCACCAAACTTAAAACAAGGAAGCCAGATACCTGCTATCAGGTAATGTACATGTAATATATGTCGCTCTACATTGTGCTCAACATCTTGTTATAACTACTTAATAATTCCATGAATGTTTGAATATCAAGATGTCAAACGTTCCTAATCTTCCATGTTCATGTAATATATATAAATGTAGGGACTGTTTGGAAGTAATATTGGAGGTAAAACCTATTTCAATATTAGCTGTTGTCTGAAGAAAAAATCACATCATTCTTGTAGGGACTGTTTGTAGTGTGAGGGGCTGTATGTCTGCAGGCCCTGCGTGACCAATTTAACACTGCACGCACTAATCACTTGATATTTCAGCCAGACAATGCTTACAATAAAAGTAGAATATGAGGCAATGTAATTATTGGTTATACCACGTTATAATATCTAATGTAATCTAAATAAACTTTGGATTTATTCCCTATTTTCCAGGCACCTATAATGAGACCAACACACAAAAACCTTTTGGTGAAAATGAGACAAATGCTTGTAGAAAATCTCCGAGTTGAGGACATCATTCGGGACATGGTAGCCACGAACTTATTCAGTAAAGACAATGCAGACAGGGTAATGGCTAAAGAAACAGAAAATGATCAAGCTTTTGAATTTCTTCGTATTCTACCAAAATGTGGTCCTCGTGCATTTGAAACATTTGTTGAAGTGTTGAGAAAACACAATAAGATAGAACTTGCAGATAAGTTAGCGGACAAAGCGACTGCATACAGTAGTAAAAACCAAATAGCAAACTTCTACATCAATTACATGAGCCAGATACAACGTCTTCCTTGGGACACCGACGACACAATGCACTTAGATGACGTCTATGTTAACCTGCAGTGGGTACAAGAGGAAAGGAAACCAGCAGGTACCAGTTCTGTTCCAATCCATAGCTATACATCAATATTAGATACTAAACAAGGGAAGACACCAAAGAGAATATTGGTCAGAGGAAAAGCAGGCATCGGCAAAACCACATTTACACAGAAGATGGCAACAGACTGGGCAAATGCCACACTGGGTTTAGGAGAATGTGATGAAGTCCTTTTAAGATATAAACATGTTTTAATAATAAATCTACGCAGCATTCAGCCTGGTCAAACATTAAAGGAAGCAATGGAAACACAAATCTCTTGTCCTGCAGAAAATAGGAAAGCAGTGACAGATGAAGTCATGCAAGCTCTAGACTATGATAGTGACCATGTTCTCTTGGCCTTTGATGGTTATGATGAATATGATATCAACACTTCCACAGAAATCACAGACATCATTTACCGAAGACGATATCAGGATGTGTGCACCGTCATCACAACACGTCCGTGGAAGGCAGAAGAACTGATGAACAGACGAATAATGGACGGTGCATATGAAATCACTGGGCTAACAAATGGCAACATAGCTGAATATGTTGCTAAATTCTTTAATGATCATAAGACATATTATAAGTACCTGGCACTGAGGTCAGATTGGAAATCCTTTATCAAAAGTCTGGGTGTATTGAATTCAATAGGGAAGGGTCTAGTGGGTTACCTAGAAGAAAAAAAACTGATGTCCCTGGTGAAGATCCCAATAATTTTACTGTTCATTTGTCTTATGTGGCAAGAAGATCAAGAAAGTGATGCCCAGACAGATTCACTCCCAGCTTCATACACACTGCTATACAAGAAACTAATACAGTTGCTTTTAAGACGAAGATACGGCATCAGGACACAGGTTGAAATGGAACAGTCTGCATGCGTTAAAAATCTTGAAGAACAAACATTTATCAGCCTTAGCAAGCTGGCTTACGATGGACTGGTGAAACCAGATGGGTGTCTTATATTTGATGAAAAGGACCTGCAGACGATTCCAGATGTCAACGAATTGTACATTTTAGGTCTACTTAGCAAGTGTAAGGTTTACAGTAACCTTGATGTTAAACACGAGGTAACTTTTCCACACAAAACAATTCAGGAGTTTTTTGCGGCAAAATACCTGGCGAGGAAATTAGACCAAAATGATAGTAAAATTTTAGATAAGTTATTGGAAAACTTAGACACCACTGACAAACTCTATGACATGAGCTTTGTGCTGCGCTTTTTGTGTGGGTTATCTAGGAGAGCAACTACCAAAGTGCTACATAGAGCGAAATCCCTACTTGTGAGACAAAGCATTGAAGCTATTGGCCTTTTTTCGGTCAAACGCGTATATAGCAGATACAGCCAGTGGTGTAAAGATCTCCTCCTAGAACACTGGTATGCCCACTGTCCCCAGGAAACAGTGCTGTCCCCTGAGTTGTTCTCCTGGCACACAGAACTTCACATACACGGATCATTTGATCACTCTGATCCCAGATTCCAGCAGGTCTTGCAGGACAGTATGTGCAGTCCACAGGCATGTTCTGGTTTGAATGCCATCATCGTTGATACGATATGTACTGATAGTTGTGTAATATATCACGAAACTTTATCTTTACTCAGTGAGTGTGACATGTTCCGTGAACTAGTAGCTTTATTGCTGCAGGATGTATATTACATTTGTGATGACTGCAGGTGTGCCTTAAATCACGTTTTATCTAAAGCTCCCAATCTTCAAATATTTCAATTAAGTGCAGATTGTAGTGGAGCACTATCATCAACACCAAACCCAGGAAAACTGCTACATCTTGATGTCACATCCATAAATAATCAGGACTGCCGGGTGATCCCACAGATGCAGCACTTGAGGTACTTTAACGCTGGATATATAGAAGATAGAGAAATATCAAAAGACCTCTGTCCTGTGCTAGGGACACTACCTTATACCAGTAATGATTTAACTCATATACATATAAATCATATCCCTCTTCGTGCCGTGGGTGTACAGCTTCTGGGGAGGAACCTTCACCATGTGCCAGGGCTGGAATGGCTGGGACTGGTCTGTGTATTCGAGTGGGGAGCCAAATGTGGGCCTGACAGGTGTACATGTCCTAGGGGTGAAGATACAACAGACTATGACAGGTGTACATGTCCTAGGGGTGAAGATACAACAGACTATGACAAGTGTACATGTCCCAGGGGCGAAGACACAACAGAATATGACAGATGTACATGTCCTAGGGGTGAAGTTACAACAGACTATGAGAGATGTCAGGATGTCTGTGAAGCCGTGCGTGAACTGAGCCAAGGTGTGATACACACCACTAAGCTGAATTTCTTCTTATTCGGTGGTAATCACTTGGGTCGGTACCGCGGTATCACCAGTCCACTGATAGCATTGATACAATCTTTCAGTACAGTGTCAGAGCAAACTGGAATGAAGATTGACATGCCCTGGAATAACCTGGGCATAGTTGACCACCTTAGTGAGCTGATAGAAGCCTTTGTCAGCTCATACCAGCATGTGTCATATTGGAATCTTTTGTATAATAACCTTAAAGAGAGTCTCCCGAAGCCAGATAACAGGCTTAACTGCAAAGTGCAACTATAATGGGAAAGTAAGTGGGAGCACGAGTTACATGATATCAAAATATCAATCAAATGAAACTACATGTATATACAGGCACCGTGTGTAAAGTGTCAATCACGTGTTTACCAAATGTTGATGTTTATTTCATGAAGTGATTGCTGTAGTACAAACCATGCCTTGGTCTACCAGCATTTTAGAATTTAATATATAAGAAATGTTACTAAAACACTGATAGGGTAGAAATATATGAAGAGGAATCAACTGTATTAATACATTGTATCTTATCGTCAGCCTTCAATAACTACTGGTATGGTGCAATCATGGTGTAAATATTAAAACTTGATACAATTGTAAATAATTGAAACATTGTTTTTCCTTTCAATAACCATCTGTATATATTACCATCTCTACTTCTATGATATTACTATGGGTCATAACATGTCAAGACACATGTTGGTTATGATATATATTTGACTCGTTTATATAAACATACAGTCTTATTTCAATATGTAATGATGTGCTTATTTTAGCATTTTATGTATTTTATTTTTTTCATTACTCAAATTTACATTGTATATATACACACGCATGTTTTGTGTCTAGGTTTGTGCAGCAATTTGTAGTAGTGAACATCCATGTGTAGCAGTGGAGAAGAAGTGTTTTTTGTATCAATGAATTTGATAGCTTACTTGTTGACTTGACATACAGCCGTCCATGAAATTTTAGTATGTGGTGTAAATGTGTATATCACTGTATGTGTCCAAGTCGGATGGGTAGAATATACCCGCACGAAAATGGAGTAGTATCGAAGTAGCAAAGAAGCATTAACGCAGTAGTGGTGTGGAGCATATTTGCAGTAGAAATGCAGTATAGCCTACTGCAATTCTACTTCAAAAATCACATAGGGTTGTACAGAGG